ATCAAACACCGCCGCAAATAAAAACAACACCAGAACCACCGACAGCACCACCATCACAAGAACGGCCACACGTAAAACCACAGGTGGAACTATCACCAACACCGGACGTTCCAGCAGAGGGAAAAAGCCTACCAGCAGCAAGAGTCTCAAGGACCCCAACAGAAGAAACCCACAAGACGCCGTTGTCAGAAACCAACACGGAGCCCGAAACAAAGCTACAACCTTTAAAAGATGAAGTGCAAGAGCAAAATGGTAGTCCCACCAACCAATCGCACGTATTGAAGAATGCAGCTACCGACAGGCTAGCGGAAACGACAGCATCATCCATCTCCAAAATTGGCAGTGATGATGCTCAACGGCCTTCCTCCAACGAACCACAGGACGGCTCCGAAACTGCTAATACTGATGTTGCTCTTACAGTCGGTGAGGCAGCGCCACAAACAGCAAAACCGGTCACAGTCGCTCAGGCAAATGATACGGTGACGCCTGGCGACAGTGACAGCAGCACCGCGGTTTCCCACACCACCTCCCCTCCTTTGCTTCTTGTTGTTGCGTGTGTGGCTGCTGCGGTGGTGGCCGCGTGAGAGTGAGGGAGCGAGAGCCGTGCACCGCCCGCACACACACTCGTCCTTCTCACTCACTCTCTGTGTGTGTCCCCCTGCATGGACTCTCGCCCTCACCTCACCCCACGAAGCACACACATAATGTGCCCATTGTATATATGCATGCACACCCATGCAGGCCCGTTGGTGCTCTCTCTTTTGCACGACACGCACAGCTGCCGTCCTGCCTGGCTGCATGGGCGGAGCACCGAAACTTTTTTTTTTTCCCATTGCATTGAGTGGGCGACCTCTTTCTCTCTCTCTCCCTGTGTGTGTGTTTTGCTTTACGGGAGCAATGAGAGTGTGTGCGCTGGTCGTCCCACGCTTCGGCTTTTTGTTTTATTTGTTTTTCATTGTTTTGTGGTTGAGTGCTCCCTTTCCGCGGGCTGCGTGTGTGTGTTTGTGTGTGATGATATGAGTAATTTGCGTGTCTGCTATCCGCTTTGCTGTTTGCCGTTACTCCCTTTGGACTCTCTTTTGCCTCAAAGCTGCTCTGCAAGTATAGGCGCTGACAAACACGCAAGCACATGCATACACACACACACACACACACACACACCATATCGTTGTCGCTTTGGAGCGGCGTGAACGCTGAGGACGCACGCACGCTGCGGATGGTCACGGCGGACACTATGGGCTCCGGTGTGTTGGCGCCTGCGGTTTCTTTTGGCCACGCTCACATCCACAGTGTTGGAATCTCCGGTTTGGTCGTGGGTAGTTGGAGAGATCAAATGCGAACACGGTGACTTTCACGCCGTGGGCTCACAGTAACCCTTTGGCCAGTGGCATTGCGGAAGAAACTGTCATGATAATTGCAACGCCGTCACGTCTGTTTTCGAGCATCCCGAGAGAAGCAGTAAAAACATATTTTTCCGCATGACTTTTTGCATCTCCGCCTCGGGGCTGCGCATCACAATTGGGGTTGCCGTGCGGTGGCGTTACCCTTATGAACTCTTGGGAAAGAAGGAGAGAGCCCTGTGCGATGCTCCTGCACCTGGAACTGACGCTGCGCAATTGGTGGCTGTTAAGTGGCCGGCCACACAATTATTGCTACACCGCAAGGAGAGCAGACGAAGCACTCCGCGTGTAGGGAGCGTTGTGGCCGATAAGGAATGCGTGCGACGGTGATGGACGTTCTCTCGACGACGGGTTGACGGTTTCTCCCATTGATGGAGTCGGTGCGCACGCGGTATGTATGGCTGCCTCTGTGGCCTCCTGTTACTCCGCTGCTTGTGCCACATTTTGGCGCATGAATGGCACCAAATTATTTTCTTTTTCTTCTCCCTCTTTTTCCTTTTTCTCTCTCCGTGCACACCCAGGCTGCACTACTGCTGCTGCTGCTGCTCACACGAAAACAAGAAATGCAATTTACTCAAGCCATGCGCCAGCCACGCCATGCCACACCGCTTTTCCCATTGCTGGTTTTGCTGCTGATGTACTGCGCCAGTGGGTGTATTGCCGCTGCACCCGCTCTGGAGTACCGCTGTGGATATGAAGTGATGATAAGGAGGAGCGGTCCGCTGCCGACCGCGGTTGTGCGCGAAGTGCCGCGTAAGGGGCGTGGCGCCATGCAGGCATACACCGTCGCCACACAGGATGACGACAGTGGCTGGGAGCCGATCCGCATTGCGGTGTCCACGGAGGATCTGGAGAGAGGCACGAACAAGAGGAATTACTTCGAAGAGGTAGAGGATGAGTGCTACAATGCATTGGGGTACAAGTTATCATGCACACCAGAGCATGTCTTGACGGAGGCAAAGAAACAATTGTACACTCGAAAGATTCTCCCTGGTGCTGTCAAAATACACACTGAGCGACTCCTTGTGAAACCCACTGGTGGGACGATAACTGTACCGAGGGCTGTGAATGGACCGTGCAGCCACTTTACGATTCCTACCAGGCACAAGAGTGACGGTGTGCCGAATGCAGATTTTATCATCGACGCTGCTGCTAGGCCATCGGGCACGGATAGCAGGGCTGTGTGGGCGACCACGTGTAACACAATGACGGATTTTCGCCCTTCCATTGGCGCCATGAACCTTGACCCGAAGTACATGACTGACACGGCGTGGAGCGTTCGCGTTGCCGCACAAGAAATTGCGCATGCACTTGGGTTCAGCCAGGACAGAATGGAAGAAAAGAGTTTGGTGAAGAAGCCAGAGAGAAGTGTGCGTGGGACGCACCGCAGGATGGTGGCAGGGAATCACGTTAAGGCGAATACGCAAGCGCAATTTGGTTGTGAGTCTCTCGAGGGCATGGTGCTGGAGGATGAAGATGGCCCTCGGGAAAAAGCGATCCCTCACTGGAAGGGACGCCACGCGCGGGACGAGCTGATGGCTCCCACAGTCGGTGCTGGCCACTACACGGATCTGACGATGGCGGTGTTTGCGGATATGGAGTAATACAGCGTGAATTGGAGCACTGCGGAGCCGATGAGCTGGGGCAACCGCAGTGGCTGCGACTTTCTGGAGAAGAACTGCAACGAAGCCATGGATTTCTGACCAAGTATCCTTGCATGTCCTGCGATGCTAAAGACACAGAGACGCTTCGCTGCACCTCCGACCGCCGTCACGTTGGGACGTGCACCGCAACTATTGTTGAAGAGAAGGAGAGTCTGGTGGATAAGGACGTTTGCCCTGTCGTATCTTCCGAATTTCACGAAATATCGTCTGGGACAACGTACAGGACGTGCTCGGACGAAAATGTGTATTATCTCCGTGGGTCGCTGACTGGCGGCGGCTCGTGGTGCCTGGACGCGGAATTACTGGAGACGAAGGACGATAATTGCCATAAAAGCGTTAAGGGAGTGTGCGCGCAGGTGTCGTGTGAGGAGGGCACAGTGAAGGAGAGGCACCTCGGCAGCAGTGGGTTTCAGCCTTGCCCTGAGGGAACTGACATCCCAGTGACGTTGATATATTTTAGGAAAGATGGGAAGATCAAGTGCCCGAGGTACGGCGAGGTGTGCACCATTGCCGCCAACGGCAGCAATCTTGTCGTTCCGAGTGCGTTGGTGGGTGGACAGGGTGACGAGCAATAGGAGGAAGCAGAAGAGTCTGCGGTTGCTCCAGGGTCGCCTTCTCCGGAGGATACTCGTCCACAGTTGTCTCCTGTGGCGTCTGGTGCCTCCATTGAAAAGGAGCCTCCCGGTGCTTCGGCTGCGGGTGTCGCTTGTGGTGGCCCTCATGCCGGCCCGAGGGGTGATTCGGGGGTGCGGACCGAAACTGAGGACAACACTCAGCGGCGAGGGAGGAGACCTGGCAGTGGAAGCGACGGAGCCAACAGAGCCTCCGGCCCCGACGCTTTTTTTTTTTGCGCCATCACCCGGCGAGGACGTTGCACGAGCGGAGGGCGACCCGCGGGCGGATTGCCCAGCGATGATTCCCAGTGCCTCCGCGCCTGTGACTCCGATTCCGTCCGTCAACAGCGACGATTTTCAGGCGATACCCGATGTGTTGGTACAGCAGGCCGACAGTTATGGCGGTGTGGCTGATGCTACTGCTGGCCTCATTCCCTTTGTGCTTCTTGTTGTCGTCGCTGCGGCGGTAGTGGTGGTGCCTCTTTGAGCAGCCGCGGCGGCTGGGCGCAATCAAACTGCGGTAGGGCGACAGTATTTACTTGGCACATTGACCCCGCACTCAAGATGTGCAAAACCGTAGCAATAACGCTATAATACACTCACTGCATTCCCCATTTCCTTTTTTGCTTGCGGGTGATGGGCAAAATGACCGGTCTTTTATTGCCTTGTTTGTTATTCTGGGAAAAGGTGTTTTTTTTTTTTGCTTAGAGGATCTAACTTCCGTGAAAACTGTTTGTGAACGAAGTAACATGGAGAGAAAAGACATTTCCCAGCACCACATGTATACACGCGTTTTTTGATGCGATTGGGACGAGGGGAAACCACCGTACTCTAATCATGAGGAAAAAGTAAAGGAAATGTGCTCCAATGGATGCGGTGTCGTGCCAGTAGCTGTTTCTTTGAAGTACAGGGACGACTGCCTCTGCCTCCGTAACTGGTGCATGCGGCTTTATCTTTTACACTTTTGCTTGTTTTTGTGTCTTTGCTTTTTTTTGTGCGTGTGCGTCATTGCGAGAATGTGGACCTCAAATAATTTCTGTGCTTTGGCTTTCAATCTGTATGCGCCCTTTTTATTTTCTTGCCTTCCCGATTTTTTGCATCCGTTTTTGTTTGGCTGTGTGTGTTTCGGGTGCTCTGCTGCACTGTGGGTAATGTGTATTAATTCCCTCTGTCCCTGCTGTTCTGATTGGGAAAACACGCTGTGGGTCAGGGTGCATGGCTCCGTGGTTGCGGCACTATTTTTTGTGGTTGCGTTGAGGCAGCCCCGACAAGACTGCCAACGTGTGGCTCTTGGGTGTCTCGTTGGGCTCTTTTCCGCTTCTTGCGCGATGGACTCCTATCTTCGGCGCACCCTTTCGTGCAGTGGCCTCAGCGCAACAAGGTGGCAGTTTTGTTGTTGTTGCTGCTTCAGCTGTTTGGTTTTTCCCTCTGGTATTGTGAGGTGCAGGTGTCGTACGTGGCGGCAATGAGCCGAACATAAGGAATGAGGAGGATGGTGCGTGCGTACGTGAGGACCCTGCGGTGTTGGAACGGTGCGCACTGTTTGCGGGCTTGATGCGCCCCCTTGGTGCATGGCGTGACTTTGTGTGCCCTCCTCGCCGTGTTTGTTGACAGCTGTGTTTGGTTTGGCGGTGGCCGTTCCACCCTCTGGGGCTACGAGGGTGGATGCATCACAATGAGCGACACCAGCCACACAAAGCGACTGGCCCGCAGGCATGTGACGCACCGATTGCCGACGCGGCGCGGCCCTCTTGTTTTTTTCGTCCCTCTGGTAGCCTACAGTCTGATGTCTAGCCGTAGTGTTCTCCTCTTTTCTCACTCCTTTTGTGTGTGACCGCATGCACTGACCACAACAATTGTACAATATAAGTATTACAGAGTGCAGGTTTGTGTGTGTGCCTGCTGCCGTGGATTGGAGTGTGTTTCGTGCGTGGTGTGCGGCGTACGGTGCATGCCTGGCTGCTCCCCTCTCCTCATGTGGTGTGCCCTCTGTGTGTGTGTCTGCCGCACCTCTTGTCTCCCCTGTTGCTCTCCATGTCCCTCATTGTGCAGATCAGCTCCACACCACTGAACGACCACACTCACGATGATGATGACGTGCCGTCTGCTGTGCGCCCTGTTGGTGCTCGCCCTGTGCTGCTGCCCATCTTTGTGCGCGAAAGCAGGTGGTGAAGATGTTGCCCAAAACTCCGGTCGAGGTTCCACTTTACCAGAGGGACAATTTCTGGGGATCAATTCAGCAAGTCCTGCAGACACTAAGCTAACCCAAGCAATTCAGACCATTGTGGTACAGGGACGAGATGGTTCCGCTGCGGGACATAATCCAGATCAGCCTCCTGATAGGGCAAGGACACAAAGCCCGACCGATCCGAGATCAAGTGGGTCGGTCGTTGCGGGAGAGTCATCACGCCCAGCAAACAAGGCAGTGGGGCAAGGTACGACGAATACGACAAAGCCACCAACCACGACTACGACTACAACCACTACGACGACTACTACTACGACAGAGGCACCAACTACGACGACTACCACACGGGCACCAAGTGATATGGCCATGAATGCAGAGGCCTCAACCACGACAACCACCCGCACACCGTCACATCCTCGGGAAATCGACGGCAGCCTCAGCAGCTCTTCGTGGGTGTGTGCCCCGCTACTGCTGGCCGTATCCGCGCTGGCGTACACCGCTGTGGGCTGAAGAGGTGTGTGCGGGCTGTGCGTGCCAGCACTCAACCGCGGGGATTTTTGTGCGTCTCTTGTGGTCTGATGTACTAAATAGGATAAAATATTGATTGTGTTTTGCTTTATTTGCCTCCGCTGCCCTGCTGTGTGCTCCGCGTTGTGCACCACATCCGTCGCATTGAACGCATCCCAGACACACTCATGTGCATGCGCACCGGAGCCTTGGGTGTGGTTATTTCTAATTTCTTTTTTTGTTGCTTTTTAAAACTTCTGGTTTGCAGGGCGGTGTGCGAGTTTTGCAATTTTACTTATTCCACCTGTTTCACGGTGCGCCGCTGCCGGGATCCCGCCAGTTGTTACTGTGAGGTGGCTTTGCGGTGGCTGTGTGACGTTTCACTCCTTTTGCTTTCACTCTGCGTTGACGGGGAGTTAGTTTGTGCTGAAGGCTGCACGCAAGTGACAGGAGTGATGGCGATGATGATGACTGGCCGTGTGCTGCTGGTGTGTGCCCTCTGCGTGCTGTGGTGCGGTGCTGCGGTGGTGGTGTCAGCGGCCGACGGTGCTGAAGAAGATGGCAGTGCGGGTGAGTATTTGATATCTCGGTGGCGTGCTTATCTGCGGAGGGAATGCGTGGAGAAGGTCAGCAGGAGGACGGGAGGCCGTGCGAATGCGTCCGCCGTTGAGGAATGCGTGTGTCAGGGGATGGACGGTGCGCGTGCCGTTGCGGATGGCCGTCGTCGTTGGGGGCGTCACCGGTATGCCGTTGCTGCTGCTGATGGCCCTTTTGAGAATGACAGTACCCCCGAATCTTCTCTACAAGGCCAGACAGGGTCTGGCGCTGGTTTGACGGGTGGACGACGATTGGAACCATCCTTGAATCCTGATACAGGAATATCCGATAAAGCAACTGCAGAAGAAGAGACGTTAACGAGACATCCAGAGGCTCCTGAGTTGGTGAAAAACAGAACCGAAGAAATATTAAAAGAACAAGAAAAAGAAAAGGAGAAGAAAAAATCAGCGGAAGAAGAAAATGAAGATGAGGGTAACGATAACGGCGAGGATGATAATGCAAGTACCGAGAGTTCAGGGGATGATCACGATGAAGAAGAGGAAGAAGAAGAAGATGTGGAAGCAGGAACCAATAAAAAAGAAGGGCGGGATGGAGGTGATGTTGATGGCGATAATTCCCTTGACGATCATGCAATTGTTCAGCTTGCTGCACCCGTTTACGTTGAGCGCCAGGAGAGAAGTCTCACGTTGAATAATGGCGGGGCTAAGGGAAAAGGAGGTGCTGGTGAAACGAGAGTTCCAGAAGGAGCAGGATTACAAGGTGCAGAGAAGGAATCAGCGAAATTACCTCACGAAACAGGTGCAGACTTAATGGAAACTGAAGGTCTTAAAGAAGGAGCAGACCAATCTGGTGCAGGAAACCAACAAGCAATAGACGAATCAAAATCAAACGAAGCAGCACCACCAGCAACACAGGAAGAAATGAAAAAAGAGCCACCAAAAGAAGCCAAAAAAGCAACCGCAAATGAAAATGTTATCAAAAAAGAAACAACGGAGAAAGGAAAAAATGGGGCTGAAAGAGGAAAGGGGGAATCCTCCGATAGGGCAGGAAAGGAAAAAAAAGAAAACGAAGAAAGGAAAGTGGAGGAGGCAAACAACGAACCACAGGACGGCTCCGAAACTGCTAATACTGATGTTGCTCTTACAGTCGGTGAGGCAGCGCCACAAACAGCAAAACCGGTCACAGTCGCTCAGGCAAATGATACGGTGACGCCTGGCGACAGTGACAGCAGCACCGCGGTTTCCCACACCACCTCCCTTCCTTTGCTTCTTCTTGTTGCGTGTGTGGCTGCTGCTGCGGTGGTGGCCGCGTGAGAGTGAGGGAGCGAGAGCCGTGCACCGCCCGCCCACACACTCGTCCTTCTCATTTTTTGTGTGTCCCCTTGCATGGACTCTCGCCCTCACCTCACCCCACGAAGCACACACATAATGTGCCCATTGTATATATTGCATGCACACCCATGCAGGCCCGTTGGTGCTCTCTTTTGCACGACACGCACCGCTGCCGTCCTGCCTGGCTGCATGGGCGGAGCACCGTAACTGTTTCTGTTTTGTTTTTATTGCATTGAGTGGGCGACCTCTTTCTCTCTCCCTGTGTGTGTATTTTGCTTTACGGGAGCAATGAGAGTGTGTGCGCTGGTCGTCCCACGCTTCGGCTTTTTGTTTTGTTTTTCATTGTTTTGTGGTTGAGAGCACCCATTCCGCAGGCTGCGTGTGTGTGTTTGTGTGTGATGATATGAGTAATTTGCATGTCTGCTATCCGCTTTGCTGTTTGCCGTTACTCCCTTTGGACTCTCTTTTGCCTCAAAGCTGCTCTGCAAGTATAGGCGCTGACAAACACGCAAGCACATGCATACACACACACACACACACACACACACCATATCGTTGTCGCTTTGGAGCGGCGTGAACGCTGAGGACGCACGCACAGACACAGACAGTCACACACACGCGATTGTGGCTGCGGTGGAACTTGCGAGGAGGGATGGCGGGAGCTTGCGATGTGTCTTGTTGACACGTTGCTGGTGTGATGTTGGCGGCGTGCAGGCAGGTGAGTGGTGTGGTGTTGAGGGTAACTGGGACGAGTGCGGTTAGGCTCCCGCCCAGCAGCTGCACGTGCCGACATGTCTTTCCTGCTTTTGATTTGAGGACGGGGGTTCTCCGGCTGTGCGAGGTGATGTGTGCTGGCAGCAGAGCGGGTGGGATGGTGGAGGCAACAGTAAAACGACTGGCGGCAGCGCGTGGGCTTTGCGAAGGGCGGCTGTGCCCTTTTGCATCTCGCCGGCTGCTTTGGGTGTGGTCATCGCTTTGTGTGTGTTGACGCGTGGCAGAAGCACCTGCCGTGTCCCCTGCTGGTGGTGGCAGTTGTTGTGTGATCCCGGTGCGCTCTTTCTCTTTGTTCCTTGTGTCTGTGTGCGTGAGTTGTTGTTGTTGGGAGTGACTGCAGTGGGGATGATGATGGTGCCACTCACTGTGGATGTGTGGCGGTGTTCATTGTTTCTTCTTTTATTAGCCTGTTTTTCTTCATTTTTTTTACTCTCTTAGGAAGAAGGAACACAAACGCTAAACGCTACTGTGAAATTCGAAGGCTTTGAAAGCACCAACAGCACACACACCGCCCATGCACACATATTTATATGGTCTCACGTGTTGCTGCAGTCAAGGCACCCCGCACACACAACCGTCGCGGCGTGACCGGATCCAGCGGAAGGAGGAGGGAAGGAAGAGAGAGTAAGCCGCAGAGTCCCAACGTGTCCCGGCGTGTGCTTACCTCCGCGGTGCTACTCCTTCTTGTCGTGATGTGGATGTGCTGCGGCAGTGGAGCTGCTGCCGCTGTGGAGAGAAAGTCGGAGGATGTGCAGGTGTCAAATAAGGTTGCTTGTTTTTCTGCCGGATAAGACGCTGGTGGAACCAAGAGTTGGGACTGGTCGAATTACTATGAGGGATTTATTCGCCGATCTCTCTCTTGTCAATCCTGGTGGAGTGATGACTGTTTTTGCTGAGTTTGACACAGGGCTCAGTTATTCCAGTGATCTACTTGAGAGCCGTACCTCTGTTGACATTGTGGTGGGGTACATCGACACTGCGGGGACGCAGTCCTTTTTTGTTGATGAGGACAATGATGGTACATGGAGGGCACGCACTGTCTTTAGTAGACCAAGAATCCTGGACTCTGAGGCCGTTGCGCTTCGGCCCACAGCAGCTGCAGATGACAATAAGGTGTTACTGCTTTTGGGAAGCCATATGCTCAGAGATCCTCTTGGCCCGTGTTTTGCCGTTGCCTACCGGGATATAAGTGTGGTTGTGGGTGAGGTTACGCAGTCCACGTTTACGAGTCGGAGTGGAGTGATCGAATGGGACGCACCCACATCGCCGCCACCACGGATCTCCAAGGAAACGCAAGCAATGGGACTGGAAAATTTTTTTGGTGGTGGTGGCTCGGGTATTGTGATGGGCGATGGCACGATTGTGTTCCCTCTGACGGCATTGTTGCGAGGAGATAGTATTCTCTTCATCATTTATTCGAAGGAAAAGTGCAGTACCTGGGTGGTCGCAAAGGTCTTTTTTCCTGCGAGATGCTTTAACCCCGCACCACCGAAGGGGAGAGGGGAAAAATACTCATGATTATTGACTGCAACAATGTCCGCAAGATTTACGAGTCAAGTGAAATGGGGAAAACGTGGACGGAGGCTGTCGGGATACTTTTGCGGGTGCCGACAGACGCACCAAATGACCCTTACGGCAGGATCTGTCTTTTGGGATCCTTCATTACTACGACCATTGAGGGAAATAATTAGATGTTGTACACTCAGAAGGGGAGGTACTCCTCGGGGGAGCATGGTCCACCCAATGCGTTTGATGTTTGGGTGACGGACAACAACCGCACGTTTCGTGCTGGACCGCTTTCTGTGGACGATGACGGGAATATGGCGCTTACCAACACCCTGCTGTACTCGGATGGTGCGTTGTACCTTGTAGAAGCGAGGGGTATTGGAGTGATCAGCAAAGTATATTTTGCCCGCCTAACAGAGGAGCTAGAGATGATCAGGTCCGTCGTGAGGGCTTAGGCACTGCTGGACGCCTTCTTTTCCGAGTTGTCCATACCCACGGCTGGTCTGATTGGATACTTGTCCAACGCGGCGAGTGGTAACACGTGGATGGACGATTACCTTTGCATGAATGCAATTGTGACGAAGAATGCAGTGAGGGTCGCCAATGGGTTCAAATTCACGGGGCCCGGGTCCGGTGCAGTATGGCCTGTGAACTCTTCGGAGGATAATGGGCCGTACACCTTTGTGAGCCACCAACTCACTATTGTGGCGACGGTGGTCATCCACGAGACAACAACGGGTGGTGGCAGCAATCCTCTGCTGGGCGCTGTGCTGGATTTACCCTTCTTGAGTAACTTCAGTGAGCCATTTGTAAAGAATGGATAAAAAGTGGGAGAAAGTGTTCAACAGCACAAAAACAAAATCGAACTCCACTTTGGAGCTGGGGAGAGAACAGCGTGTGGCGCTGGTGCTGTGGGAAGGCAAAAGAAGCTCCGTGGACGTGGATGATGTGATTGTAGGGAGCTCAGAGAAGATGCCAACATTTGAGATGATGAGGCATGAAATCACACATTTTCACTTTGCACGTGGCGAAGATGACGCACCGGACGGCGGCAATATGACGGTGACGAACGTCTTTCTGTACAACCGCCTACTCAGTGTCGGTGAACTAAAAATTGTCAAGAAAACCAACGATAAAAAAGGAAATGATGACGGCTCTGTGCGTGGGAGCGTGTCGCAGTTGCTGCTGCTGCTGCTGGGGTTTTGCGCCTTTGTGGCCCTTTACTGAGAAATCGCAGTGAGGAGTTTCCGCCACCAGCGGGAGATATATGTGCCTCTCCACGCACCCTTTGAAATAATTGACGTTTTGCGGGGACGCACCTTTTATTTTATTTATTTTTATTTTTGGTTCGACTACCTCTTTCTGCCCGTGTAAGTCTTTATTTAGGGGCGTACTCTCACTCCGGAGACTGCAGCGCGGGAAATTTTATTATTATTATTATTATTATTATTATTGTTTTATATGGTTGCTGTTTTTCCTTTTTTTCCTTTTCCTATACGGTGGAATATTTTGAGATTGGCGGGATGCCTTTAATGTTTCCGTATGTTGATGACACGTGCAGTCGGCATTGAGCGCCACGACGATGGTGCTATGAAAAAAGGGGATTTAAGATGTGCAGCAACGCACTGAATGTCCCAATGAAATGTAGGTGTTGTGTGGACACCAGGGGGCTGAACGGCTGACACAAATATATTTTTACTTCTGCAGGAAGAATATGCAACCATTTTTTTTTTTTTTTTGCGTCACGATGAGCTTCGTTTTTTTTGTGTGTTCTCTGCGTGGGGAGGCTGTCATGATGCATCGCTGTTGTGGAGTGTATTATTTGGAGTTTTTGCATGTGGCCGCTTCCGCACCGAATTCTCTTCCCACTTTTGTGTGTCAGCGGCGATGTGCCCGTGCCCTCTTGCAGAGTGTGTGCGGTGACGGCGGTACCACACGGGTGTGAGACCTTAGCGAGCGGCGTGCGTGGGCGAACCCTCCGTGCCCACCACTTTGTTGTCGTTGCCTCTCAAAAACACTGTTCCGGGTGAATGGCACCCACTTGCCGCCGTTTCGGTGGTCCTCGTGCATGTGGTGTGCATCACACACCGTGTGGAGGGCTCTCTTTTTGTGGCTGCGATTCATTTCTGTGCATATTTTCTTTCCCTTCTTATCTCCCTTTCGGTTTTTGGTCGTTAGTGTTGAGCTTTAACTGAATCCAGCTACGAGGACAAGGAGAAACAATGCCTGGTTTGCGCAGGAGAGCGCACGGTGCTAAAGAGGGGTGTCAAGCGACTGCTCTGCCGCAGGGAGATCGTCGGAGGAGAAGAGCGAGACGGAGTTTGAGGGTGACACAGATCAACCCGCTGCGGCTCGCGGAAGAGCGGAGGAAGCGCAGTGCTCGCAGTGGAGCATGAGCAGCAGCGTAAAGGACATCCTGCAGGAGAGAACCACGGGCACAGCCAACATGGAGCTAAATGATTTTCTTCATAGGGAATCGGGCGAGGAGTGGGTTGTGAATAGAAATGGGAACTACTCCATGGAGATGTTTTTCTTTGAAATCCAGGATGTTTATCCAAGACGAAGTGTTATTGGGCATGACAACGGCATTGCCGTGTTAAGAAGAGCTGGATGAGGAAAATACTATTGGAGGCTATTTATGAATTTGAAGGAGAAGGCGTTTCCTTTCCTGAGGAGTGGAGGAACCTTGAAAGAAAGGATACGGTTACCCCTCTTGCAAGGGGAAACTGCACGCAGTCTTCTTTTGAGCACTGACGGAAGACGAAAAGGAGAGGCAAGGGATAGAATGAAAGGACGCTGGAGGATCATACGAGTCTTTGTAAAATGCGAGGTGGAGCCATGCGGTGGAACTTCCTGACAGCGAGAAAACGAAAACGGGGACGGGAATGAAGGTGGAGGAGGGAAAACCGAAACAGTCATGGACTTACAAGGCAGTTGGTGACACCCTCGAAAAGGATGACGGTGTGCAGCAATCCGTTGCGCCACGTCCCAGGCTGATGGTGCAAACCTCGGACAAGGCATGGCCGTGCTCGTGGAAATGGAAGGAGGATGAGTAAAACCACTCGTGACTGCCATGTGAACTGTGAGGTGGATTGAGTGTGGCAGATCGTCAAGGGCGATCTCACCGAATGGTTCAACAGTCTTCCTGAGGAGCACTTTACGCCTGGGCGGCGTGTTTTGATTGGGACGTCCGGGATTGGGAAGTCGATGGCTGCCGGCTCGTACCTCCTCTACCAGCTGCTGCGCTACGATGCGGAGCAGCTCCCAATGGTTGCGCACAGTGTTGGTGGAAGTACGGCGTAAGTGTTTGGCAATACCACACCAAGGGTGACAAAAAACATGGGTAGTAAAACATCCAAGAATGTTTTTTATGATTTGTGGGATTGTGGAATGAAGGGGTATATTACCTACAATGTGACAACGAAAGGAACACCGCCAGAAACATTTCTTTTGCTCTTTATTGCATGGTGCATGATTGTGGTGTCACCCCCAAACTGGGCAACTGTGATAAATGGGAGACGCAAGTAAAAGCCGAGCGAATCATCGCGAATTGCTCCGACGAGATGGATGTGAAGGCGATGTGTGCATGGATGAAACAAGGTCTGGATCCAGATGAGCAAGCGGAATACTGGAAGATGGTTGAAAAACAAATGGAAAAAGTGGGGCCGATCCGACGTTACGCCTTCGATGCGAATAAGTTTATTGCACACTCTGCTGCCATTGAGGATGCCTTGGATGGGATCAAGTCTTGGGATGGTGAAAATCACTTTACACATCGGGGAGGGGGACTGTGGTATTCTGAGAATCCGTCTCAAAAGATCGTGAGGATAGTCCGAGCAAGAGGAGAATTCGTTGCCGAGAGATTTCTTAACGCACCGATATCTGTTTGCCTCGGGCGTCGAATACCGCACTATTTTGGGAAACGTAATGAGTGAGAAAGATATTTTTTTTCTGTTGCTAGTACTGGGGCAGAGGAATACTCTTTTGTGTGAATGTATGGGAAGGGTTTGGCTTGCGCGCATTCGTGTTTGGTGGAGTTTGTCAGTGCATTAGTAGAGGAACTCAAGGAGCTGAGGCCACCAGCAGTGCTGGAGGCGTACCCTGAAGGGCACCCCGCCGAGTTATAAGTGGGTTGCTTGCAATGGAATAACATACAAATACTTGTATAAACCACCGGCTGTTGTACAAACCGTGGGCCACAAGCTTTCCGCTGGTGGACGCCTTTTTTTCTTCTTCATGGAGTCAAGTCCGAGGACGCTGGTTGGGCTGCGGATGACTACGGCGGGTGGGCACCACACCACCGCCAGCACCGTGGGGCAGTTCATCGAGCGCCTGGCGGCGTATTTTAATGGTTGGGAGGAATTGTCTCGGGACATGTCGTGGGATATTATTTAAGTGCAGCACGCGGACGGCACGCCGATGAATGACTGACAGAGATGCCATACCGTCAATCGAAATAGTGTGTGCGACGATGAAGGCCGTGAAATAGCGGCATTCTGGAAGGAAAAGGGGCGCCAGTACCAAGTGTCAATATCATCGTAAAGCTCCAGAAGGGGCGAAGCTCACCGAAGTAAGGAACAACCACCGAAATGGGAAAAGCAAATTGGGGAGGGAAAGGGGTGGTTTGATTTTTAGTAAAGAACATTGGGGTTTGATTCAGTGCATTTGGATGCTTTTGTGCGTGCACGCGAGGCATAATCGGAGAATTTCCCCGGTGTGAGCGAATCATTGCGGCTGACGGTATCACGGCGTTACTGCATGTTCATTTTCTTCTGTTGTGTTCTAAGTCCCATGATCAACGGAAGCATCTTCAAGTGATGGACGACGAATAACTTATATTGGGAAACAGTGAGCCTCCGTGTGACCGCATGGAGTGAGGTGCCGCGTCATGGGTGGATGAGGGCCCCGCTTCCGCGTGTGTGGCTCTTTGGGTGATTGCTTGCTCCGTGTGCGTTGTGTGTCGGCTGCGGGCTGTGGCTATATCCCGTTGGCCGTGGGACTGAACCGGAGGTGGTGGCGGTGTGTCTCTTCTTGTCAATGGTGGGTGACTGCTTGCGGCATGTGCGTTTGTTTTGTGGATGCTGTTTTGCGGTGTGTGCACTGCGCGATGGTGTGTCTGCTGTGGGGCGCCGCATCCTCCTCCTTGTGCGCGCACCGACAGCGCCGCGACGATTTGTGTGTGTGTGTGCGCTTGGCTGTTGTCTTGTTGTTGTGTTGTGTTCTAACCAGAGGCAGGAATGAAACTTACGGTTCTGTCGGCATGTCTCCCTCCATCCTTCCTTCTAAAAAGTGTGACGGCCGAGGATTTGGATAAAGTGCTCTGTGCACCCCTGTTTTGTTTGGTCATTGCGGCTGCAGTGGGACTCTGCGGCTGCGTGCTCGTTGCATGTGTCGCGTCGTCCGCCGTTGCTCCCTCGTTGTGTTGGTGGGGAGGAGGCGAGCGACGGCGTCGGTGGAGTTGCGCCCCAGTTTGAGGAGGAAGGCACCGACCGCTGCTGAATGCGACAGTCTTTGCTGCTGGCAATCTGACGAGATGACGTCACCGGTGCCACATCCAACCGAGATAGATGAGGGCCGCACCTTCTTTCTCTCCCTTCCTTTTATCCTTTTACTCCATTGCTGACTGACGAATTGCAGGGCAGCGGCGTGATTACAAACCGGTCATCTATGAGTCAACAGGCCGCACAATCGATGTGAACTCTTGTCCCTCGTGTCTGAGTGCCGCCGCCGTACTTATTCATCCTTCCTTCTTGTGTGTGCCGAGTGCGCGTATGGTGCCGCTGCTTGTTGTGCAATGCCGACCCGCGTGAGCGAAAAAAGACGCCTTGACTGCTGGTGAACGGCGAATCCTCCACTCATTTTCCGCATCACTATTTTATTCTCGGACGCGCTCGATGGCTGCCGGTTGTAACGATGCCGTGTGGGTGTGTCTCGGCCCTGTTTGTCTTCCACGGCATCGGGGTCGTCATGTGTTGGAGGCATTTTGTTTCAAGAGCGGTGCTAATAGCAATGTGTCTTTTGCTGGGATCCTGCCACTCTGCATGGTGGTTGTGTGAGGCTGCGTGGGCGGTGGGAGGGCGATGTTGTCACTGGGCTGACTGCGTTTGCCCGTATTTGTGCCGGTGGATCTGCTTTTGTGGGGATTGTCCGTGGCCGGATGCTTTTGCGTGCCACTTTGTTTGGAAACTGTTGTTGCTGCCTTTTATTTTTTTATTCTTTTTTTGAGCGTGCAGTTAGAGATACTTTGGCTTGACCATCACAACTATCGTTTCAAGGTGTTAGGAATTACTTGCAGTAGTAGGATTAGCAGCAGTATTATAACGTTCTGGTGGAATCGCTTCACTGGATTTGCCATCTGTAGGAAGGGATCTGCTAGGCAGGAGTTATGGTTGACGGGGCGAGTGCGACACACCACGACAGCCCTGTTGGTACCTGTTTGGGTTGGTGGATGTGGTCTGCGGTGGGTGCGTGTCCGCACAGCCGGCACCGCGTGCGGCGCATGGCCATTGCGGCTGTGCGTGTGGCGCTGCTTTTTGTGTTGGCGCTGGTTGCGGCGGCGGCGTGGATGCCCGCGGTGCATGCGGTGGTGTTGCGACTGCGGGGCGGCACGGTGGACAGAGCCATCACGGTTGGCCGCGCCGTGGACACGCTGCTGATGGACGGTTTGTCTGTCACGAACGGTGTGGCTGTGGTTTTCGACGTGCCGGCGATGCTTCCCGGCGCGCTGCGCATCGAACTGAGGAACTGCGTGTGCGACGGCGGTGCGCAGATCTACGTGCGGGGCTACAGCGGTGAGCCGGCGAGTGACCGGAGCCTGGAGGTGGGCGTGAGCGGGCTGTCCGGGAGCTACTGCTCGCTTGTGCTTATGCACAACCTGCCGGCACACACGAACGTGACGGTCCGCGACTCGACGATTGTGACGGCGGGGCCGATGCGCTACTCGCAGCTGAGCGGGCTGACGGACGCGGTGGCGTCGCCGCTTGTGCTGCACGCGACGTCGCTGTTGCAGTCGCAGCTGCGTGTGAGCAACACCGTGCTGAGGTCGTCGCAGGCGGGCGGGTCGGCGGTGTACGTTGGCGGCGGTGTGAACCTGCTGTCGAGCGCGGTGGTGTTTGACGGCGTGTCGCTGGAGGCGTCGGGCGGGGCGACCGCGTCCGCGATGCATGTGGCGTCCTCGTCGATTCTCAGTCTGCGGAGCCACTCGGTGTTCTCCGTGACGAACGTGTCGGTTGTGAGCAGCGGCGGCGGCCTTGTGCTTGGAGAGCGTGTTACTGTGTCTGACTCGGTGCTGCGCCTCGTGGGCGTTGAGGGGTCTGTTGCGTCGTCGCTGGTGCGCTGCGACGGTGGGACTGTCGGTGCCGGCGGGTGGCTGGACATGCACGACGTGTGGGCGGTGGGCGAGGCGTCGTTGGTGGCGTCGCTGTCGGGGGTGACGCTGAGCGGCGGCACCGTGTCGATTGCGCGCTGCGCTGCCACTGGCGCTACGCTTGTCTCCGGGCTGGCGATCACGAGCGGGGCCGTGTCGGTGCAGTGCAACCGTGCGGGCGGCCGGGTGCTGCAGAGCAGCGGCGACTACCGCATGGCCGGCCTGCCCTCCGTGAGCGTGGTGCCGTGCGATGGCTGTGCAGCCGCGCTGGCGTGCTTTGATGCGCTGACGGCTTCGTTCTCGGACTGCGTGTGCAGCTGCCGTGCCGGCGGCATGGGCGAGGCATGCCTGCCGTTCAACGTGCCGCCTGCGAGGGCCGGCGGTGGTGGCGGCGCGGAGGGCTGCGTGAGTGGCGTGATGCTGACGGAGTCCGTGACGGTTGGCGGCGGGCGGGCGACGGCGTGCTTCGACTCGGTGGTGTTCAGCGGGCCGATCACTGTGACGGTGGACCTGCGCTCGATGGACGTGTTCGCTGACGCGCTGAACGTGACGCTGCGCCACTGCGTGCTTGCGGGCGGCGCGCAGCTGCGGATTGGTGGTCTCAGCGAGAGCACGGCACGCCCGATGCCGCACGCCCTCGTGAACATGACGAATGTGACGTCGCTGGAGGGCACGATCGTGCTGCATGGCGCGATGCCGCTGAACTCGAGTGTGCTGCTGGCGAACTCAAAGCTGCGCGCGACGGTTGGCGGGTCGCAGTACGTGCCGACGACCCGTGGACACGAGGGATCCCGGTACGGCACCGCGCTTGTCCTGGACGGCGTCCGGCTTCTGTCGACGCGGTTTGTCATGACGCGGTCGACGCTGGTGTGTGGCGGGGAATTGTGCGCTGCGATCCTCTTGGAGCGCGGCTTTGTTGTGAACCTGTCCAGCGTCTTCTACATGGACAACTGCGCAGTGAGTTCGCGGGCACATGTGATGTACGCTCTTGCGTCGGACCTGCGTGCCAGCGGCGGCTCCGTGTTCTCCATACAGAACAGCTCGTGGATTGCGCCGAGCACCGAATATTACAAGGGCGCGTGTATGTTCAAGGAAGTTGCGGTGGATGGCGGCAGCGTGCTGCAGATTGTGTCCAGCACGTTTCGTCTTGGCTTCGCCATGCTCATTGCAAACATGCTGACCGTGACTGACGGCAGCTGGCTGGTGCACCGCAACAGCGAGTTCCACACTGCCTACGTTGTGTACGTGGCCAACGAGAACGGCGTGGTGTTTTGCGATCGGAGTGTGTGGCCGATACTTGACAACAGTTTTACGTACGGCTCTTATTCTTCCACTGCGTACATGACAAGCATCTGGTCACTGTCATTCGACGCGCGCCCGATCATCTACGGCATGTGCAACGAGCTAAGGGGCTCTGTCGTGACGAATTACAGAGAAGATCTCTACATTAGAATACCCGTGAGGGTGTTGGACTGTGGCGCGTGCACCGTGGACGCCGTGTGCTTTGCTGCGAGGACGAGCAGCATCAGCGGCTGTGAGTGCGTGTGCGCTGCTGGCGGCTACGGTGGCACGTGTCTGCCAGCTGCGGTTCCGGACGGCCTTGGGCCGCTCCCGCTCCCCGATGCGAAGGACACGGAGGTCCGCTGCGTGCACGGTGGCAGCATCAGCTCCGTGGACGATCCTGATCCCGGTGTGCGTGGTCTGTGCTTTGTCAACGTGACCTTCACCTCTGCGATCGTGCTGGACCTGTCGCTTTTTGAGGCTCCACAACAGACACTCAACATCACGCTGCTGCAGTGCGTCCTCATTGGCCTGTCGATCAGAGGGAGTGGTGCGTGTGTGCACGTGAGCGTGTTCTCCTCGATTTTGGATTTGGGTGCTTTGGAGTTTGAGGGTGATTTTGGCATGAGCTCCCAGATACTTGTGGCGGGCAGTAAGCTCTTGTCGAGGTCTGGCCACGCCATTTACTTCTCGAACTTTTCTTTTGGTGCGAACTCGACGCTGCTGCTACTCTGTAACCGCATCGAGGGAAATAGTTACGCAGTCTATTTCGTTCATACTTTTGTTGTTGATGGTGGCGGGATCGTTGCGAAGGGAAACACGCTCAGCATAACGGAGGAAGATGACGGTGTGGAGTCCGTCTTTTACATTTACGCTGTTGATGTGAAAAATGGCGGCTACTTTGACGTTGAGAACAACACGATGAGCGCAGTCAGTGGCATTTATTTTTATGGGGATGCCGTCGTGAGCTCCGCGGGGCTGCTGAGAGTGGCGGAC